GGAAAATTGCCGACCAAAGTTGTATGGACCGAAGACGAGGAGAGAGCTTTCATTGATCTCAAGGGAGCGCTTACACGRGGACCTGTTTTAAGACCCCCTGACTGGTCTTTAGAGTTCTTAGTCCAGACTGATGCATCGAATCGGGKTCTCGGGGCAGTTCTCAGCCAAAAGGACGCCAATGGAGAAGAACACYCTATKCTGTATGCAAGTCGAAAGCTCCAACCACGTGAGCAAAACCTGTCCACTACGGAAAAAGAGTGCCTCGCAATAGTTTGGGCTTTGGAGCTATTTAGATACTATCTGTATGGTAGACATGTAATCCTGCAGACAGACCACAATCCACTTGTTTGGTTATCAAAAGTAAGAGACAAGAGCAGAAAACTTCTACGGTGGAGTATAACTGTGCAAGAATATGATGTCGAGTTCAGGCATAAAAGTGGTAAGACAAACGTAAATGCAGATGTATTGAGCAGACTGTAATGCATTAATAGATCAGCCACTGTAACTTAAAAAAAAAAGAGAAAAGAAAAGAAAAGAAAAGAAAAGAAAAAAAAATAATGTTCTTGTGTGTAAAAAAGAAGTGTGCGCGGACTGGGGTTTAGTGTATTTGATTGTTAAAAATCAGGGGAATGCTTTTTCATTTGTTTCTTGACTTTGGTGCTTATTCTGCATGCTCATTTACTCCTGTCTGGAGCCGCGTACATCGGATGTCAACCTTATGGCGTACCTTGTCCCTATTGGTAGTGAGAACACTTACAGAGTCCCGGCACTTGTAGAAGAAAGACTTCTAAGTACCAACACGAAAGACTTGTAGAAGAAAGACTTCTAAGGAACAACACGAAAGACTTGTAGAAGAAAGACTTCTAAGGAACAACACGAAAGACTTGTAGAAGAAAGACTTCTAAGTACCAACACGAAAGATTTGCAGAAGAAAGACTAGTACTTCTAAGGATCAACACGAAAGACTTAAACAAGGTGAACTAAAGACTTCGACACCTTGCAATAGTAAAGACCGTTAACGGAGAAGCTAACGACTCCTTCAAAGACTAACTCCGTCCAGTGTAAAGTCCGTAACGACAACCGAAGACTGCAAACCCGCCAAACATAAGTATAAAAATGTAAAAAAATATCTGAACACTAGAATTAACACATTTACACATTTAGTTATTTATTTATTCAAATCTTAGATAATTACATAGCAT